CCCATCAGTTCTTCACAATTTCAGAAAGAAATAGATCATTCCATATGTAAACACAGATATATGCTTAATGAAGTCTCACTTGATTTAAATACAGATATTTTTTAAACAATCCTATACAATAGATATTTACAAGTCATGGTGCAAAAAGAAAGGAAAAAATAAATAAATAAATAAATAAATAAATAACATTAAAAAAATTAAAAAGAAAATAGTTTTTTTTTTATTTATTCTGGTGAATTGGCCTGGAGTGGACTCCTTAACTGCTGGCTGCATTTAGTACAGTAAGTAATCCTGCAGGAATGTGAGTATTTCATGAGGACTTGTGTGCATGTTCACTATAAACCCTTTGGGCTCTAAATTATGTAAATTAATTAAGAAGAAACAGAATTAATACACAGAAATAAACAAATAATGTCACTGAGAAATCTATTCCATTTAAACTGGCGATGGCCCAGTCTACTGTTTACAGTACATTTCCAACTATAACTTTTTTCAACACTGACCAATCGTATGGTTCAGCTGCCCTCTTCAAGCTCCGCCCACAAATGTGCTCTTTTGTAGCTACTGTTGTGAGGTTGGAAAAGCTTTACAGGCCGCTGGTAAAAAAAATCCATTCAATCTCACTTTATTTTCTACACTAATTTTTTTTGTAGAAATATATTTGAAGTGTTCGAACAAACCAGACAAGTTATGGTTCCATGGAGAGAACATCTGAGTCTGACGCCTGTGTTGAAAGCACATCTGTGGCTTCATCTGATGTAAAATCCAAATCTCCAGGCTCGCTACTTCGCTCCATCTACCAGGTTGCTTGCCTCTCTTAGAAATAAAGGTTCTGTTCAGGTACATTTTTCGTTCATCAAGGTACAAACAGTGTAAATGTTCCCTCAAAGCTCCAACAGTGGTTTTAAGGTCTGATTGTGAACCTTAAATAAGTTTTTCCAGGTGAAAAGTTCGTATTTGTACCTTTTCATAACCGAATGTTTTAAACAGAACAGTAAAATAAAAGCCTGGAGACGAGACGGGGTGTGTGGAGTCAGTACAGCTTAGAACATATCATTTCAGTGGATTATGGTTCAGTTATGTTCCCTGACTAAAGGTACTGAGATGGAGCCTTGAGGGTTCCACCCCAGTGACGCAAGGGGAACCGCCCCAGAGACAGTTTAGTACCTTTATTTCTGACAGTGTAGGGGGTAACAGTAAAGTGTATGCACAGGTTAACCAGCGCTTCATGGAGGTGGTCTAACTCAGGGTACAAAAGGCAACATTGCGGCCCTAGCGAGGGTCCAGTATGGCAGGGCACTGTTTGCAGCTGCGCTGGGAATACATGCTGTCTAGCACCGCGCTAGCGTGACGTTCTCTGCTGGGAGTGATGATGTCAGGCGCCCGAGCTGAGATGGGATATATTTCCATATTTTAACAGTGTGATTAAAAAGAATAAACATGGTACAAGAATGTGCTGATAAAATGTATTGTGGCGTCGCCACTGTAAACAGTTCAGTCTTTTAAAGAGAAGAAATGCTTATGTTGGGCTGTTTTGGGACTTTTATGTTGAAGAGCCTGATTGTGGGGGGAGTGGTGGGTTTTCCCCAGTAGAGCAGAGGCCTGTGTTTTTAGCTGTTAGCGCTGGAGAGGCTGTGTTTCTTCTCGCCGCGTTTTCAGCAAATTAAAAATAAAGCTGCGTTATGGTTCATAACCTCGAGTCGTCTCAGTTTCTCCTGAACCCTGGATGTTGCAGTGCTTTACAGTTCAGCTTTATACATATATATATATATATATATATATATATATATATATATATATATATATATAGATGAAAACAGAAATTAAAAAAATGAATACCTAACCAACAAACGAATATCCGAACAATCGAATACTCGGCTCCAGCTCTAGAACACACTCAAATATATTTTTCCACAAATTTTAGCCCCCAATTTGTATTTATTCATTAATGTGCCATAAATTTTGTAAATTTATTTCCAACATATTAAATTCAGCAAATAATCATCAGCCTAGACGTGTTTGGTGTCTGAAGCTTCTTTACTGTTAACACTGGAGCTACGAGGCTAACGTAGTTAATGGTTAATGGAAGTTTATGGCTACCAATTAGCATGCCGCTAACCAGTAGCAGTGCCAGGACTGCCGTTTTGGGTGGGCTTGACAAATTTGCAGGTGGGCTGAACCTTTCTCTCCTGTGGACGGGGGATAAAGGCTACAGGAAACGAGGCATAATCCATAACAGAAATTTGCTAAATGTTCTTCAGAACGTGTTAAACTCAGCTAGTCGACCAGAACACGTACAGTTGTACGCACAAGTTTGAACCCCCTCTGTTCCTCAACACATCCTCTACAGACAACAAAATCAAATATAAAAAAAGCAAATATTATTTTGATTCATTTGCTGAGTTTCACAAATTGCAAATAAATAAAACTAATAATTAAATATTAAATGTTTCTTTACTTTTGCACAGGTTTTATGCTGAGTTCAGCAAATAAACAGTAACTGTGTATTAAAATGTGCAGAAGTGTCTTCACTGCAGACTTATTTACAAAAAACGTCATTTGAGGGCGTTTAAACTTGTGCACACGACGGTAACTCCTCTGTGATGTGATGTTTCCTACTTTTCTTTGTAACTGCTGCGTCCAGTACTGATTCTTATTCTTGTGGTCACTTTGTTTGGGTGGTGGATCATTCTCAGCACTGCAGTAACACTGACGTGGTGGTGGTGTGTTAGTGTGTGTTGTGCTGGTACGAGTGGATCAGACACAGCAGTGCTGCTGGAGTTTTTAAACACCTCAGTGTCACTGCTGGACTGAGAATAGTCCACCAACCAAAGACATCCAGCCAACAGCGACCTGTGGGCAGCGTCCTGTGACCACTGATGAAGGACTAGAGGATGACCAACACAAACTGTGCAGCAGCAGATGAGCTATCGTCTCTGACTTTACATCTACAAGGTGGACTGACAAGGTAGGAGTGTCTAATAGAGTGGACAGTGAATGGACACAGTGTTTAAAACCTCCTGCAGCACTGCTGTGTCTGATCCACTCATACCAGCACAACACACACTAACACACCACCACCACATCAGTGTTACTGCAGTGCTGAGAATGATCCACCACCCAAATAGTACCTGCTCTGTGAGGGTCCATGGGGGTCCTGACCACTGAAGAACAGGGTAAAAGGGGGCTAACAAAGTATCAGAGAAACAGATGGACTACAGTCTGTAACTGTAGAACTACAAAGTGCACCTATATAGTAAGTGGAGCTGATAAAATGGACAATGAGTGTAGAAACAAGGAGGTGGTCAGAATGTTATGCCTGATCGGTGTAAATCAGTAAATCCAGCGGTTCTGAGGAATCAATATTTCATCTCCACGATCACTGAAATCTGAACACGCTGAATGTTTTCGACAGTCTGGGAGGAAATCAGATATAATCTGTAGAAAATATAAAAATGTGCAAAACATGAATATTTAAAAACATTAAAAACACTCAAACACGCTACAGAACCTACTATGGCATCTACACTCTGTAAAAAGATGCCATAAAAGGTTCTTTAAGCAGTGCTATAGAAGAACCACTTTTGGTTTCTTAAAGATTTGTGAGTGTGAAGAGCCTTTTAAAAGAGTAAAGAACCTCCACATAATGTAGGTTCATGGAAGAACCCTCACGTCAGTACTTTTCATTATGTGAAGTTTCTTTAAACTTTGAAAAACATTCTTCAAATTCCTTTTCAAACATTTATCTTTTAGAGAACTAAAAGTGGTTCTCCTGGGACACCGCTCAATGATTTGTTTATTTGCAGAACTTTTTTAGAGTTTAAGGAACCTCCACATAATATAAAGTGTATCAGAAGAACTCTTAATTTGGCCTAGCGTTTTTGCACTATGTGAAGGTTCTTTAACTTTAAAAAGGTTCCTCTCAGTCACAAATCTCTTTTTCAAACAGGGGTCTTAAGGGAACCAAAAGCAGTTCTTCTAGGGTATCGCTCAAAGATTTGTGAGTGTGAAGAAAGTTTAAAAAACTTCTACATAATGTCAACGTTCTCAAAAGAACCCTCAAATTGGTATAGAACCTTTAGATCATGTGAAAGTTCTTTAAAGATTCCTCACACTCACAAATCTGTTTCAAACATTGTTTTAAAGGGAACCAAAAGCAGTTCTTCTAGGGTATCGCTCAAAGATTTGGGAGTGTAAAGAACCTTTTTTAAAGTTTAAAGAACGTCTATGCGATGTAAAGGATCTCAAAAGAACCCACAAATCGGTCTAGACTTTTTACACCTTGTGAAGTTTCTTTAATCTTTAAAAAAGGTTCCTCACACTCACAAATCTCTTTTAGTTCTTAAGGGAACCAAACACAGTTCTGCTAGGGTATTACTTGAAGATTTATGAGCGTGAAGAACATTTTAAAGTTTAAAAACTTCTACATAATGCAAAGGTTCTCAAAAGTACCCTCAAATCGGTATAGAACCTTTAGATCATGTAAAAGTTCTTTAAACTTTAAAAAAGATTCCTCACACTCACAAACCTGTTTCAGACATGGTTCTTAAGGGAAAGAAAGCAGTTCTTCGGGGGTAACACTCAAAGATTTGTGAGTGTGAAGAACCTGTTTAAAGTGTAAAGAACTTGTATGTAATGTAAAGGTTTTCAAAAGAACCCTAAAATTGGCACAGAGGTTTTACATTATGTAAAAGTTCAAAAAGGTTCCCCACACTCAAATAAAACTCTCTTTTTCAAACGTGGTTCTTTAGGGAAATAGAAGTGGTTCTTCTATGGCTCAAAGAACCCACTGTGGCACCTTTATTTTGTTCTTTCTGTTGTTGTTTATATGGTAAGTGAGAAGTGTGGAACAGGCACTGTTTTGGTCATTAATCTCTCCAAAGGAATCTGTGCTAGCCAGCAGTTAAGGTGTTCCAAAGGAAGGTTAAATGGAGCGAGTCCTGTTTTTAGATCTCAGCTCACTGTAAATCAGTCGCTTGTGTGGAAAAACAATCGGCAGGACGAAGAATAAATAACGTAAATAAATAAATAAATCAATAAATCAATAATAAATAAACAGAAATGATAAATTAAAGGAAAGACAACAAAGATAACGTCTGCCTAATTGATGTAGTAGAGCCAGTAGACGACGTTGAAGAAGGAAAAGACGGTGGGGAAGATCATCCTCGACCACTTGTCGATAGAGTTCACGTCCGTGAGGTCGGGGATGGTGATCTTCAGCTGCGAGGCGCGCCTCCTTAGCCGGCTCTTCTTCTGAGCCACATGGCGCTCCAGAGCGTTCCGCCCAAAGTTGTGCCTGGCCAGGCCGGCTTTACGGTACTGCAGCGTGGAGCTGTCGTAGGCTAGCATGGTGCTGCGAGGGTCCCCCAAACCCAAAGCCAGCTCAGACGCCCCCATCTCGTTCTTAATCTCCAGGGGGCTGAGCAGGATGTTTTCATGGGGGTCCATCTGCAAGTTCAAAGACGAAGAAATTAATCTAGCTGCCTTAAAAAGCTTTAAAAAACTGGTACTAGCTAGAAAGAACATGCAAAGGTACAGCAGTTTGAACCTAAATAATTAGGTAACACTTTCTTTTACAGTCCCATTTGTTCTAGATATGAACCAGGTAAGTGTGAGGCACAAACTCCATACTGACCAATTTAATGCTTAATAAAATTGAATGTTTATAGTATTTTAAATCATTAGTACTAGCGAACTATTTTGGATAGCACGGTTACGCTTAAGTGCAGGTTCTAGCTATTAATAGAGTGTGTGAGGCACATACTCCAAAATACTAGATAACTACTTTAGGATAACATGGTGGTACGTTCCATAACAGTTACACTTATGTGCAGGTTCTAGCTATTAACAGAGTGTGTGTGAGGCACCAACTCCAAAATACTAGATAACTACTTTAGGGTAACATGGAGGTACGTTCCATAACAGTTACACTTATGTGCAGGTTCTAGCTATTAACAGAGTGTGTGTGAGGCACAAACTCCAAAATACTAGTTAACTATTTTAGGTAATATGGTCGTATGTTCCAAGACAGTTACCCTGAAGTGCAGGTTCTAGCTATTAACAAAGTAAGTGTGAGGCACAAACTCCAAAGTACTAGATTATTTTTAGTTAACAAGTTCCAAAACAGCAACACTGAAATACAAGTTCCAGCTGTTACCAGAGTAAGGCTGAGGTACAAACTTCAAAGTACTAGATAATTATGTTGAGTAAAATTAAGTACTCAGACAGTTTTCTATTAATGCCAAACAGGTTCTATTTATTTAAATTAAAACTAAATTTTAAGCTAAATTTCACTGTAATATCACACATTTATGCAAAAAATAAATAAATAAATCATAAAAATTGTACAAAGACAGAGTTTTATACAGTCTGAATCTGTTTATTATCTATACCTAAACTGAATCTGGGCTGTAAAAGAAAGCAGTGATTCTTACTGTGGTTCTACTGGGTTCTTATTGTTTACTTCCAGATTTTCTGATAACTTTTTAGCTTAAGCGATGTTACAGGTGAATTTAGTGTATGTTTGTAGTGATCATCTTATTAATTATACACTTATGAGATATGATGTATTTTACTCAGTTTAATATCTAGAACCTGTTTGGCATTTCCATGTAATAGTCAGCTAGTCTTGGTACACGCCCCGATTTTACCCAAAATAATTACACAGCACTTTGGAGACTTGAATCTCATCCTAACCGGTGAACACACAGAACCTCCCGCACCTTTCGGTGTTTTTCAGATGAAACTGCTCTGGTACTCATCACCATGTCCCCCAAAATGATTACTTAGTACTTTGGACTTTGTACCTAGAACTTAGGGGACTGTAAAGAAAAGCATTACACATAATTATTCCTTAATTTATTCATAAAAACGAGTATTTTGCAACTGATAATATTTTATTTGGGTGGTTTTCCACAGATTCAGGTTTGTTCCTCATAATTTATCTACACTGAACTTAATATCTATAAAAATCACTTTCAATTTTACTGAAGTCTAAACCTCAACCTTGAACCTAAACCTAATCTACAGTCTAATACTCGCTCTGACCTAACTTTAACCTCAGCCTAAAACCTAAACCTAACCCCAAATCTAATTCTCATTCTAACCTTAACCTGAGCCTAAAACCTAAACCTAACCTACAATCTGTTACTCACTATAGTCTTCACTTTAACTGCAACTCAAAACCTAAACCTAACCATAACCTCAGCCCAAACCCTAAACCTAAACTTAACCTCATTGCAAAACCTAAACCTTACCCAAAAACCTAAACTTAACCTCAGCCCAAAACTTAAACTTAACCTAAGCCCAAAACCTAAACCAAACCTTAACCTCATCCCAAAACTCTAAACCTTACCTTAGCCAAAAACCTAAACTTAACCTCAGCCCAAAACATAAACTTAACCTCAGCCCAAAACTTAAACTTAACCTAAGCCCAAAACTTAAACTTAACCTAAGCCCAAAACCTAAACTTAACCTCAGCCCAAAACTTAAACTTAACCTAAGCCCAAAACCTAACCCCAAAATTAAACCTAACACTCACTAACTCTAACCTTAGTCCCAGCTCAAAACCTACTACTAACCCCTAAAATTAGCCTCAGATCGAAGCCTAAACCTAACCCTGGTCCTAATTCTAATCTATAACTCTAGTGCTAGTGAGACTCTCCAGATAATCTACAAAGGGACATCCAAATAAAGCTGAGCTCATATTTTCTCTAATGAAGTAAAAGAAATTGTAATTTCATTATTATGAATGTATTATGAACCTAATTTCATTATTATGAAGTCTACTTAAAGTGATTTGATATGCTAAATTTTACACAGATAAACAACGGAATCAAAGTATGATGTGAATGTGGGAGGAGCAGACAGGGTAGAGTGAGGAGCTGAAGAAGGACAGGATTTGAGAAACATCTCAATATCAGAAACATCGTCAATAATTCACAACAATGAATCAACAACGGCAAACAGATTTACAATGACAAACGGTGTAGAATACTGACTGAGCTACATGTGGTGTGTTTAATGTACTCAGAAAAAGGTGTATTTTATGTGTGTGTGTGTGTATATATATATATATATATATATATATATATATATATATATATATATATATATATGTTGCTGTTGTCGGAAAAAAACCTCATAACTCAAAAATGGTAACTTTACAAGAGAAGGAAAAAAAAACTCTAGTTTTAATGACAGTCACTGGAACCAGAATTTTTTCCAAGTCATTTCGGGTCGTTTCTTTTGGTTCATTCATCATGAAATTTACACACAATGTAAAGGGTAGCAGGCGTTTTCACATTATGTCAAAAACTGAAAAATGTCAAAAATGGAGATGAGGTTTTCTTCCAAGAACAGTGATATTTATATATACACATTATTAAGACTCTCTAAGCTTATGTTCCTGTCTGTAGTGCTATTGTACTCAACGCTGTACTATTAATATCAGAAAATCTAATATAACTGATCTCTACTGAAAAGTTGTAATAATAATATACTATCATATGCTGCTGATAATCATCATCATATCTCGTTGATATGATCGTTGCTCTCATTTTTAAAGGGATAGTTCAATCAAACAGTACTAATGTGGTTAAAGGCTGTTGATTTCATTTTAAACTCCACTAATTTTTAACAGTTCTGCATAAATAAGATGTAAACAGAGTCGTTCAGAGTGGTTTGGTGTGAAACACTCCATTCTAGATAAACTCACCGAGTCAGAACTGTTCACAGTGGTGATGATAGGAACCAGACGTCCACCTCTAAAAGCTCCCTCACAGAAAGTTACTACATGAAATGGTTATGAATTCACTGCCTGATGACTGAGACACTGTTTTATGATAGTTTAGAGAACTTAAACTCCATTCATGGTGGAGGGATACATGCAGGGCGCTGTGAGGCAAAATAGTCCCCAAAGAAAACTTATTATTTCAGATGTTCCACTATTTTCCATCATCAACATTCCATATAAACTCAGAAGACTCGTGTAGGTTCACTGGTGGTTCTGGATAGTAAATAAAATGTCTATATCTGTGTTGTAGTCATGGCGACCCCTAGTTCCTATCAGCACCACTGTAAAGACATCTGAACCATTTCACACCAAACCACTCTGAATCACTCTGTTTACATCTGAATTTTACAGAAAATGAACATGAAGGAAAAAAAATATGGAATTTCCCTTTTAAGATGAATCTGAACAACAAAAGTTACTGTCACAACAGAACAAGCCATTGTTTTGTTTTCTGTTCTGCTGCCCACTCTGTTGTCATCTCTTGTAATCCTAACAAAGGTTGTCTTTTATGATATAAAGCATAAGCAAAACACCTATCAGCACAACAATAAACCAGGCTTAACAATAAACAAAAGCTTTGACAAGATTATTAGCTTTTATTCACTGTTAGCCAAGCTAGCCTTGTCTGGTTGAGCTATCCCTTCAGATACGGAATGAAGAGGCTGGTCAGATTGAGGGGTGGGTGCAGGAAAAGTGATGGCAATGAGGGGAAAAACTTCAAATGTGCTCAAAATCAAAATAAAGGAAGCATCGTCAAAGCCAGGATCGCAAATGAACTTGGCGAAGCGTGCGTCACAACAGCCGCCACAGCTGTTTATTCCAGTACCTTATTTTTTTGATCGCCTAGTCCTAACGCCGCATCGTCCACAAAGATCGGTTCCCACATCGAGTCATGAGCGTCAATATCCCTCTGTTTCATTCTGGCATACAGAGCATCGTCTCTCTGAACTACACTTCCCACCAACCACTGCAAGCATACAAAATCACGTCACGTCAGTCAGGAAAATGCTTTCTCTTGTGCTGGTGAGCTCATGTGGCACTACATCACACCAGAGAGGCATCTGAGCCACTGTGCTGAGAAACGGATCTAAAGGCCTTTACGCACTGAACGCGAGTTACTGGTGCAGTTTATTTAGAGGTCAGTATGTCAATTTAAACATGTGCATGACTGATGATTTCTTGCACATCAAATGTCATTTTTATTAGATTTTCTGCTGTTTTTTTTGTAATTTTCATTTGTTTTAGTTGGTAAATTTCATTTCAACTTTTTCAATTCTTTGTAATTTGCTCAGCTACACTGTACATGTTTATTACAGGAAGATTCACTCGAAAGAGGCCCCGAATATTCTGCTGTAACTCCCGTTAGGATGAGGCAATCTGAACCAAAAAAAATACGCTGCATACCTTGACGTCTGTGTAATCGATTGCATTACATGTGATGCTGGAATGATCTCCGTTTTCTGCCAGACACATGAAGGGGGGGGGGGTATGCACCCGGAAGTTGCAAACGGAGGTTAAACGTCACGACGGCTGTCCAGCGCCTACCTCAGCGCTCCGACGCAGGGGCATCCCAGCTTGTTCAAAGCTCCATATACTGAGGAGCACAATGCATGTTGTTTTGTTCAGATTGCTCCGTCCTAGAGAGAGTTATTACAGAATATTCGGGGCCTCTTTCGAGTGAATCTCCCTATATTATTGCATTTGTGCAATACGTTTTAGCGTGCTAGCCGCAGTGCTCCAGTTTGTTGTGTTTGTGTATTATAATACATTAATATTAGGTGAAAAATGGCCAATTTTTCCTTCCTGCAGCAAACCGAATAACCACTCGCTAACTTGTACAGATACCGGAATATCAAAATTAGTCAGAATAATCATCCCTGGAAACAGCCGAGATCAACTGTGTCCCAGAAATCTGTATTTATTAGTAGCAGAACTTTTTTTTTTTTGAGTTAAGAACATCAGAGCTACGTGAGAACGAGTGCATAAAGCTTCAGCTCCTGAATGAGTTGGTGAAACCTTTTGGGGGGGGGGAGTATATCATCGTCACTCTGATATGTTCTGCTTGTTTGTGCACTTTTCCACGACATAAAAAACACTACAGCGTTGCTAATAAATCACGTTTAGTGCATTTTGATGCAAAAATATCTCAGAATATAATTGTGTATCATTGATTTGCATCCTGTTCAGCGTGTATTGGTCTTAACGTCTGTCTTTTGGCTTCTTTTTTCAAACTTTAAACTAGTTCTGTTCTAATATATACACACTTTGAAGTGCCTACAGTGTGTAAATGTATAAATTATTGAACTATGGCTGCTGTACTTTTTACCAAAGATTAATACTTAAGGGCCATACACTGTAAAAATGACTTCATATGGTAACAAGTAAATTAACTAGTTTCATTCAGAATAAAAAAATACTTTGAATGAACAATTTTCAATAAAAGTAATTTTTGAGTAAAAAATTTTAGTATTTTTGAATATAACTAGTTAATTTACATGTTACCACAAAGTAAATAGTAGATCTGATGAGCCACTTTTTACAGGGTACTTAACTTTGAACATGTTTTCATATAATCTTTGTTCTACATGTCAAACTGTACATTGTAAAAAATGGCTCTTCAATTTAACCTAAAAAATGAATTCATGCGGTAACGAGTAAATTAGTTTTATTCGACCTAAATAAATACTTTAAATGAATGATTCTTTCAGTCAATGTAATTTTTTGAGTTGAGAAAAACTAGTTTACTTGCTTGTTACTATATCAAGTAATTTTTTAGGTTGATCTGACATTTTTTACAGTGCACTGTTAAAAACATTTGCACGCCTCTGGCCGAATGAAGTGTTGTTGATTTTCTAACAGAGAACACACTTAAATACAGCACTTTTCCTGCAAACTTTAATGCACAATTTCTATTTATTTGCTGACTGACATATTTGGAAAAAAAAAATTTATACATACATTATATATATATATATATATATATAATAATTCAGAAAATGTACAGTAATTGTGTATTAAAATGTGCAGAAGTTTGTCTCTGTAGAGGATGTAACTCATTTACACAGAAAATCTATACAACACGGAATTGACCAGAGGCGCACAAACTTATGTATATGACTGTATCTGTATCTATAGAGAGATTAGATGGTCAGTTTGGGTGCCTAGCATTGAAACACAGCCATGTTGTCCATGTTGTCTCCAGGAAGATGATTTTGCAGAATCATAACTGCTTTTTGACCATAAATGTTTGGTGATTATTTACACAAAACCATCCACATCCAGTTCTGACCAAAATGCCAGAAATACCAAAATGAGTCCGGTCCCTAAAGTTGCTTGTTGCCATATATTTTCTTAACTGACTTTTCAGCTTGTTGTAGTAGCAAATTTACACATTTGAGAAGATTTACAGTTGAGTTTAAACATTTTTTTCTCATACACTGTAAAAAGTGTCTCGTCAGATCTACTTAAAAAATTACTTCATGTGGTAACAAGTAAATTAACCAGTTTGATTCAACTTAAAAAACTACACTGATCGAAAGAATCATTCGTTCAAAGTATTTATTTAGGTTGAATAAAACTAGTTAATTTACTTGTTACTACATGAAGTAAATATTACACTTGTTATTACATGAAGTAGATCTGATGAGACACTTTTTACAGTGTACTGTTTAAAAATCTAATTAAAAAAAGCTTATTAGGTTAAATTCCTGCTTTTACATCTGATAAAGAATATTAGCTCAACTGTGTGGTCATCGTGGGGTCACCGCTGTGATGCTGTAATGCTGGTCATCACAAAATCACAAGTCAAACATTAAAAACACATTGAAATAATGAAAACTGACTGGACAGAATGGTCAATACAGTCATTCACAATACAGAAAAGACAGTCATTTTTACTGCAGGTGAAAAAGCTCCTGTGTAAAGCATACAGTAAAAGTTAGACCAAACAAAACAGAAGAATGTTTTCATTGCATGAGAAATAAAACTGATACTCTTAAAGCAGCTAAAGTTAATAGATGTAATCAGAATCTAATCAAACAATAATAAGAGACCTTTATAAAGTGGTCTAAATTATTAGATGAGACATTATTATTTTCTAATAAGTTTATTTGAAAGCATGAGCTGGTCTCTGGCCAAATTTGTGTATATAAAAATGGTGTATCATTGCTGACAATTCAAAACCATTTTTTTAATGAGCCAATATAAATGGTTCAAAATGAATTACAATTAGGGGATGACAAAAATGAATACAAATATTGTGGCTGATATTGATTTTTAATAGGCCAAAGTTTTTGAAAACTGTTTTGAACAGCTATAATTTTATATTTATGTTTTGTACTCCAATAGTTGTATAGCTACAGTTTGGTTTAGCTAGAGGTTATTTATTGTTTGTAGCAGACAGTAATGAGTCACAAACCTCTTTTGTCTTTTTTGTCTATCTATCTATCTATCTATCTATCTATCTATCTATCTATCTATCTAATCACATTACACTAAAAACTAAATAACTGTATGAGCTTAACTCATTTGTCACATATTTCCATTGAATCAAACTTAGTAGACAGTCTTTTTATAAATATATCAATGTATATATGAAATTGATAAAATTGCAGATGTCAATCAGTTAATATTACTGGCCAAATTATATTAATGTATGACATTTACTAAGTTCCCCCCTTTTATAAAGTATGAGGAAGCCCTGAAGATGAATTGTTGATGTAGCAAAATGAAACATTTCAGTGCAATTTTTCAGGGTGTCACTGTAATGAGATTCTCTTTGGATCAAAATAACGTTTTTGTTCATGGAAATGCACTTTCATTAATGTTTGTCCACAACTAATTTATTTAATGTCAATATTTTCAGTTTGTAAGTCAGAAACCCTGTTGGTTAATTATTTACCATTATGCAGATACATGGTTTTGTTATGCCAGCGATGACACTAGCGTGTGTTTTTGTGTTTAATATAGCGAATGTGGTCCTGTTTACTGTGAGAAATGCTGCCAACACGCTGATCAAATAAACTCAGTAATCAGACTCGCTCCGTCTTCCCACTCACTACTGACACTTTCAAGGCAACCCACAGGTTCCCTCCCGCCCGGGTTCCCTGTGATGAGTTCTGTGTACCTTGTTCGGATCCATCCTCATTTTCTCGTTGTTGGCGGTGGCGGCTTTCTCCGCCGCTTTCTTCTGCCGCTGCGGCCCTCGACCGAAGAAGATGTAGTTGACCAGCGCGTACTCGAGCAAGGCCAGGAAGACGAAGACGAAGCAGCCCATCAGGTACACGTCGATGGCTTTGACGTAGGGGATCTTGGGAAGGGTCTCTCGCAAGTGGGTGTTGATGGTGGTCATGGTGAGGACGGTGGTGATACCTTCAGTCAAACAGATTTTAAACAGTCACGATTGTGAAATTTTAGCTGATTAACTGTCACATAAATACCTGCAACTACTGGTTTAATTTTCTTTTTTTGGTTCACTGCATAAAACTATTAAATCACAAGCTTAAAGTGGTCAAATTAGCAGATCAAACATCTACAGTTCCACAGAATCGTGGAGAGCCGTGCAAATGTACATTTTTTTTTTTCTTGAGAGTGAAAATACAAGCACATTCTGTGAGCATACATGCTAAAAATGTTAGGAGATATAAAAAATGAACAAACATTTCTCAGCACTGCCCTCTAAACATGTTAGAGCACCAAGTTAGAAGTCCACATATTTTTTGAATGAAGTTTTTTATTTAAACATTAAGCTCAGCATAAATCTAAACATAAACTACTTTAAGAAAGAAATCAAAAATATCTTGAAAAAAATATTTAAAAAAAACAAAAAAAACAAAGTGCACTGTAAAAAGTGGCTCATCAGATCTACTTAAAAATACAATGATTGAAAGAATCGTTCATTCAAAGTATTTATTTAGGTTGAATGAAACTAGTTAATTTATTTGTTACCATACAAAGTCATTTTTTAAGTAGATCTGACGAGACACTTTTTACAGTGTACCCTATAAATGATATATATGTATTACTATCTATAGTAGTGTTTAGGCAGATTATGACATAATCCTTGTGAATATCTAAGGTCTGAATGTGAAATAGTTTTTTTTTCAGTTTGAAGAAATTCAGTACACTGTAAAAAGCGTCTCGTCAGATCTACTTTAAAAATTACTTTGTGGTATCAAGTGAATTAACTTGATTTATTCTACTTAAAAACTACACTGATTGAAAGAATCGTTCATTCAAAGTGTTTATTTAGGTTGAATAAAACTAGTTAATTTACTTGTTACTACATGAAGTCATTTTTTTAAGTAGATCTGACGAGGCGCTTTCTACAATGATGAAACACAGTGGTAAACAGGCCCCCGTCCAACTTTTTTGGAATGTGTTGTTGGTATCAAATTCAAAATGGGCAAATATTTGTCAAAAAACAATAAAACTCCTCAGTTTTAACATTTGATATGTTGTCTTTGTTGTAATTTCCTTTAAAAATATGGTTCACGTGATCTGCAGATCATTGCATCCTATTTGTATTTACATTCTGCACAGTGTCCCAACTTTTTTGGAAACGGGGTCGTACATTGTGTGTACATTCCATGATGAACAGACCAAAAGAAAGGACTCAAAATGACTTGGAAAAAGTCTGGTTCCATTGACTTCCATTAAAATTAAAGTAGGCTTTTTCTTCTCCTGTAAAGTTCTTATTTTGGAGATAAAGTTTTTCAGCTGAGCTTAGTTAAACCTTAAATGCCTAAACTGCTTCTGATATGAACCTTCCAACTAAACATCGTTAACAGGTGTTGACTAAAACCTTTCGTATTCGTTATGTTTGAGCTGGATTAGTCTTTCTGACTGAGTTAGCCTTTTAATTAGCCTCTCTAAAGTTCAGATGTGCGTCTCAGAAGCCCCACGAGGACGCATTGTGATGCATACAGCAAATTTCTCAGTAAATTCATCTTTAAATGCTAATGACCACTCATTTGTGCATCTCCTGTATCCTAATAATTATCCTGGCTCTTCTCCTGTCATGTAAGATGAATCTGCTGTCTGTAGTTCTTTACTTGTTTTAATGACGGAGTGAGAGGACGAAGGTTCAGGGATCCTCTGCCAAGTTCTGAACAAATAATGTCACATTGCCACCAGGGATGGTCATTTCTGGTGTCAGTCTGATGAATCTCATGGAGTTTGTTGCCAGGACGGAGACAGTAATGAGTCCAGGTGAGTTATAGAGCTGTGATCAGGACACAAACAGAGGAGAAAGATGTCGGCTGCTCTTCACGGCCCTGAATGACAATGTTTAGGGATGTTATGGTGTCAATAAAGCGGTCAGATCAGTGAACGCAGCAGTTGCTGAGTTCACGTCTCATGATATTCCCTCTCTTTATGTCTTTGGGTAAAAAGTAGAGACGTCCTGCCCCAGATTTTTGCCCCTGATCCCAATACGAGTCCTTTAACATGAAGCATCTGTTATAAGGGTGGGAAATATGATGATATTTTATTGTTATAGTGATAAACAACATGCATTTCTGAGCGCATGGTGAATACGGTCAGTCAAGAGCATCAACCAACTGCATATTTCTTTACAAAGAAAGCATAATCGGGTTATTCTACAGAAACGTCCAACGTCTTTCCATAGGAGTCACTGGTGTTACTGATCCTCATTGGTGTTCCACATAATAAAGGAACACCAGAGACATTTTAATGAACAATGTATTTTACAGAATAACTGCTACAGAGAATCAAACCACATGTTGTCAATCATGGAATATCCACTAAAATATGGAATTTAATCCATTTGTATTCTATTTTTTCAGTTACCTCAGAATAAAGTCGGTCACACCAGTGACTTCAGCTAAAAGCTTCCTATGAAATCATGAGCTAAATGAGAAAATCTCTGATAACTGAAAGACACAGTGGACTCACCATGAGCTTTTCTTCATAGATCCTCAGAAAACAGGTAAAAGGAAGTCGAGTGATGTCATCAGTGTGACTTTTATTTCAAAATAAGAGATTTTTTTGTTACACGGTAACACCAGTGACACGACTCCTGGGGACAACTTTCATTATATATTTTAGAATATTTATTTGGCATTTGTTTTCTTTATGACATTTAAATCATATATTCCATAGTCCTGTATAGATTATTGTAGTTATAATTGCAGAAAAATTTGTTTTTTTCTTCAAAATATGGCCTCAGCCTTCACACATGACTGTGAGGACGAGCTCTTCTGTGGTGCTTGGAATTCTAGATAAGTGATTTAAAAACAATATTGCTAAATTGAGGCTCAAGAAGGTGTAACTGTTAAAATAATTTATTGTTTTATTTGAAAATATAAATAAATCGTAACCCTAACATGGTTTTTAAGTGTAATATATCTGTAAACGATAGGGACACAAAAAAGGACGTTTCTGTAGAATGACCCAATTACTCCTTTACTGGATTTAGTGCAGTGACATTAAATCACTATATTTAAATTTTTAATATGACGCTACTTTATTTTTTCTGTTAAAATATTGTGATACCATGCATCATAAAAAAGTCTGTCTATTTTTTTCACCCCTCATCTGTTAACATGCCTACTCTTTGCCCTCAGTGGTGCTGCAGTGTCTCTAGAGTGCGATTTATGAAGACTAGTGAGTATAAAGACCAGAAAAAGCCCCTTCTGATGATGCATCTTGAAGGTGGAACAAACTTTTAAAAAACTACATCTGCTTCGGGTGGATTTTTTGGGGCTGGACTGTTTAACCTCTTATTCTCCAGGGTATATTTTGGTTTGTCCATCTGAATTTATATAACCAAATCGTAAGGCAAATTATTCAGTAACTGCATGAAATAAATGTAAATTTTTAGTTTATTTATTTATGTATTTATTTATTTTTTGTAAAAGCTCCCCTCAAATTAACAGAGCATGTGTTTTATGATCATAAACATTTCGCTATATGCTTACAATTTACTGCTGAAAGCCAAAAATCTTAGACGCTCTTAGTATTATTTGATAAAAATAATTTTCACAGAGCAGATCACTGAAGAGACGCCATCTGTTTATAGTTTATAGCCCAGATTTGAGGAAAAATGGGTCGACTTTCAGTAGAAAAAAAAAAAAAGCTGAACTCACAATTTATTATAAGGGTTTAAAATTACATCACCCATCTATCTGACTGTAAAAGAAGAATATGATCAAGTGTGTTTTGGAACCACCGGTGGTCCCAAGGAGTCGAAAAGGTTAAAATGCTACTGCAGACTTGGTTGTATTTACAGCTCAGTGGCTAGGCTAACATTCAGAATCGGGTGGCACCACAGGGATTCCCAGTGGCTGTATAATGTATATGAGTAATGCATGCTGGTTATTGTAGTTAAAGATGAATGAAAATGTGAAAACGATATAAAATTGTGAATTCTCTCATAGCAGTGAGGCTGATTAATGCTGCACCGCAGAACACAGTGACCAATAACTTGAAAAAAATGCTAGTTTAGGCCGGAACAGCCCGATATTAAGTTAGTAAAACGAACCAAATTTAGGTAAGACATGTAAGATTGACAATTACTTTAAATTGCCGCAGTAAAATCACTTTATTTTCAGTCTCTAACACGTTTTGTAGAAAAAGACAAGAACTTTGGAATAACACAAAATAATAAAAAGGATACTGAACTGATATGTTTCATTTTTCAGGACTACTTCTTTAAAATTCTCATTTTATGCTGTACTAAATACTAAATTTTGTTTTTCAAGTTTGCTTTAGAGTACTTGAACCCAGTGTTACTGCCGAGTGTTAAGTGTATTTGGATTGGATCTGGATTAAAACAGAATCAACCAAGAAAGGGGCCAGATCAGGCTTAAACAACAAATCCACTCATTTTTAACGTTTCTTCATAATTCAGTGTGTGAAATGTAAACAGAGAGATTCTGAGTGTTTTGGCGTGAAATGGTTCAGATGTCTTTACAGTGGTGGTGATAGGAACCAGGGGTCGCCATGACTACAACACAAATGTAGATATTTTAATTACTATCCAGAACCACCAGTGAACCTACACGAGTCTTCTGAGTTCATATGGAATGTTAATGATGGAAAATAGTGGAAAATTTGAAATAATAAGTTTTCTTGGGGGACTATTTTGCCTCACAGCGCCCTGCATGTATCCCTCCACCATGAATGGAGTTTTAAGTTCTCCAAACTATCATAAAACAGTGTCTCAGTCATCAGGCAGTGAATTCATAACCATTTCATGTAGTAACTTTCTGTGAGGGAGCTTTTAGAGGTGGACGTCTGGTTCCTATCACCACCACTGTGAACAGTTCTGACTCAGTAAGTTTATCTAGAACAGAGCGTTTCACACCAAACCACTCTGAACGACTCTGTTTACATCTAAACTGTTTGACTATGCAGGAATTTTGAAGTCAGTCCCCTTTAATGTAGCTTTATTAGCCTTTATACTGATATTCCAGATCAGATCAGGACATCCCTAGTAAAACGATGTTTTTCTTCAATAACCTCTGGATTCCTGTCTGGTGTGTAATCTGCATATGGGTCTAAAATGGCTGGGGGGGTTGTCAGTGAGGGGTGGGCGGGGTTTATAAATAGCATGTCAGCATTGCAGGGCACTCAAACGTACAGCAGCTCTGCCCTAAATCATAATTCTTCTTCTACTGCACAGACCTCCTCCCAGAACCTGCATACCTGCTTATAGTTACAATACAGTCCAAACCTAATAATCATAGCCACTGTGGAAAACGACACCCATCAATATCAACACACAAACCATGTTCGTCATCTATTATTCCCGTATCTCCCTCTTTTTTCCCGCTTTTCATCAAAATCCCATGGTCTGTGCACCCCCCCCCCGCCATTCCTCCCCCAGCAGATAAATGAATACAGGTCAGACTCCAATCAGAGAGAGTGCTCTTTTTATACAAAGAGAGAGAGAGAGAGAGAGAGAGAGAGAGAGAGAGAGAGAGAGAGAGAGAGAGAGAGAGAGAGAGACCTGGTGGGCCGGCCTTACATAATCAACTATGACGGGGGAAAAAAATGGAGACTTTCAGAAAATGAAAGGGAAAAAAAAGGAGCAGGGAAGGAAACGGAGGAGTGTGAAAAGAAAGATGTACACAAATCAGAGCATGAAGTTCCATTCATTCATCTGTCAGTCTGCTCAGCTGGAGCTACTGGAGTGCATTTGTGTGCTTTTGGCTTCATTCCCAGGACAAGTTTATAAAAATGAAGTGAGAATGTTCTCAAATGAGCAATATCATCTCTGGACTGTAAGAACAATAAACTGCCTGTTTTCATTTCAATATTAACTGTACATTTACTGGCTGACCATAACTGCAATATAACAATATGTGGAAGAATATATATGGGACACATTCCCTTTATGTTCAAATATTTGAAGAATCCAGCGTTTCTTCTGAAATGAAGGTGTTAATAGTGAGTTTGTGCTGCAGTAACAGCTTCTACTCTTCTGGGAAGGCTTTACACTAGATGTTGGAACATTGCTGTGAGGATTTGATTGAGCATTAGTGAGGTCAGGTACAGACTTCCAAGGCAACCCAAAAGTGTTTAGTGGAGGATCAGTTCATTTCAAAGGAGTTCAATGGAGCATCATCACTCAAACTTATCATGGAGGGTTCGATGGAGCTTCATTAATCCAACTCATCAAAAAAAAAAGTGTTCCATGTAGATTTAACTCATCTCAAAGGAGTTTATTGGAGCTTCAAGACTCCAACTCATCCCAAAGATGTTCAACAGACACAAATGTGTTCACCAGAGCTTCAACTTATCTCATAGGTTATAATTGTAACCATATCTCATTCTGAAGATACTTATCCCATTTTTTTTGTGGAGCTCCACCACTCCAATTAATCTCAAAGGTGTTTAGTGTAGCTTCAACTTATCCCAGGCATTCAATGAAGCCCTGTCACTACGACCTTTCCCAAAGGTGTTCAATGGAGCTTCATCACTTGAACGTTTTTGCAGAGGGTTTGAAGGAGCTTCATGACTCCAACTCATCCCAAAAAATGCTTCATGTAGCTTCAACACATCTCAAAGGTGTTTAATGGAGCTTCATCACTTCAACTTATCCCAAAGGCTTTCAATGTAGCTTTGACCCATCCCAAATGCGTTCACCAGAGCTTCAACAGTGTAGCATCAACTCATTCTGAAGGTGTTCAGTGCCACTTCAACTTATCCCAAATTTGTTCAGTGGAGCTTCACCACTCCAATTCATCTCAAAGCTGTTTAGTGTAGCTTCAAGTTATGCCAAAAGCATTCAATAAAGCCCTGTCACTACAACTAATCCCAAAGGTGCTCAACAGACCTCAGACCCATCTAAAGGATATTCAGCTGAACTTAATGACTTCAGAGAATGTGAAAAGCTCTTTAAGTGCACAAGTGCTCACTGTGTCAGCACTGAGCACATTAAACAGACAAATTCACTAATTAGATGGAGTCTCTGATACTTTTAGACATGTAGACCAGTCTCTCAAACTCAAATTAAGCATAAGCTTGAAGAATTTCCATTGATTCCACTGTCACTGCTATTTAGGCTTAGTCCAGAACATTGGCCCACTGTCTGTAAGTTAGCCGCTTAACGTATAATTAAGACCTTTTTTTTAAAAAGGTTTTATTTACAGTGAGTTAACGTCATCAGAGTTTCAGGTTAGACTGAGTCGAGCCAGATCAGACACCTACCTAAAGCAACTCTTGCAGCGGAGGCATCGTAATTGATCCAGAAGGAGACCCAGGACAGGATGGTGATCAGTATGGAGGGCATGTAGGTTTGCAAGATGAAGTAGCCGATGTTCCTCTTCAGTTTAAAGCTGAGGGAAAGCCGAGGGTAAGCGCCTGACAGAGAGAGACAGAGTACGTGGGTCAGAGGAGTTCAGAGAAGCACAATGAGGTGCAATGGAGTATTTAAAACCAGCGTTTCTCAGGAAACCTATGGATCAAAGCTCTGAAGCTTTATTATTACCTGTATATGTTACTTATACACTGACCGGCCACTTCACTAAGCCCTTCTATCAACACTCTTTGTCCATTTTGCGTCGGTACGAGTGGATCAGACACCTCAGGGTCGCTGCTGGACTGAGAACCAAAAACATCCAGCCGACAGCGTCCTGTGACTTTACATCTACAAGGTGGACTGAGAAGGTAGGAGTGTCTAATAGAGTGGACAGTGAGTGGACACAGAGTTTAAAAACTCCAACAGCACTGCTGTGTCTGATCCACTCGGACCAGCGCAACACACACTAACACACCACCACCACGTCAGTGTTACTGCAGTGCTGAGAATGACCCACCACCCAAATAGTACCTGCTCTGTGGGGGGTCTTGTGGGGTCCTGACCACTGAAGAACAGGGTTACAAAGTATGTAGAGAAACAGATGGACTACAGTCTGTAACTGTAGAACTACAGAGTGAAACTATACGGTCAGTGGAGCTGATAAAGTGGACAATGAGCGTAGAAACAAGGAGGTGGATTTAATGAAGTGGCTGGTTATTGTCTAAAACATATTTCTGAGGAGGTACATATAACATAATCCAATGCACAAGGAAGGAGAAGTCAAAGGAAAATAAGTGAAAAAAAAACAAGTTTTCAAACTTTATTTATATAAATTTATTTAAGAGTACAAAGAAAATGTTCCTCCTAACAACCACCTGGAAGAGCTGGTCGACCCCAAAACTGCCCCCATCAGATAAACAGCACTTAAAGCTTTCATCTCTGAGAGAGAGGAGAAAATCAAGCTGCTTCAGATCTGAAAACATCCACAGGTGATTCTGTCCATCCTTCCACTGTGAGAAGACGACTCAGCGCTGTGGGTCTGAAAGGATGTGTAGCTGATCAAGAAGAACCTCACTGAGAAAAGGAGACGGACACATCAAACAAAGAAGCTGAACGATGGACTGACCACCCCAGAGTCCAGACCTCAACACCACTGAATGTGTTTGATTACTTCAGAAAATGATCAACCAGCTTCTAAGACTGAACTTTGGAGGTGTTTTATAGGCTGTGTTGCATTTTACAGCTTACCATAAACAACATGACATATACTGAATTTGTTTTTAACCCTTTTTCCATTATTCAGTTTAATCCGCCCAGAGAAGAAAAATGGAGGAAAAACATCAAACCAAGTGTTTAAAAGTTTTAGCAAACAAGATCTGGAGGTGATGGTGGAAGAAACAGCCAACAGGGAAAAAAATCCTCTTTAGAAAATATGATAACTGTGGGGTGACGGTGGAAAGCAGGAGACAAGGAAGAGGAGCAGCAGAGGCAGCGTCTGAGTTTGAAAACTGATTTAGATCAAATCTTCTTCGTCTTACAGCCTGAGATGAGTTTGAGGCCGAAAGGTTGAGAAAACACTTAAGAACATAATGTTTAAGAATAACACTTGTTCTTCGATTTATTCTCAAGAAAAGAGTTAAGAAAAAAAAATCATAAGAAGTTCTTAAGAATTCTTAAGAAATTATTTGAAGAATAACATTTTTTTGTATTTTTTTTTAAGAATGAAGTTAAGAAAAACACACATTTAAGAAGATTTTCTTTCTTAAGGGACTTTCGTTAATCTGAGCCTGGATTCATGAAAGCTTTAAGAAAAAACTTCGGTTCTTAAGACAAACACTAAGAAGTTCACAAGAATATTCTTAAATTCAATTCTCGAAAAAAATCTGAAGAAATTCCCAAATATTCTCTCTATATATTATATATTCTCTACAATCAGGATTATTTTCTTAAGATTTTCTTAAGAAAACCTTCATTGTTTTCTTATGTCGGCTACGTTGCATTTTACCCTGTACCATAAACGATGCAAGATGCATTTTGAATTTGTATTAACTATAATTTCTGTTATTCAGTTTATTCCACTCAGAGGAGCAAAATGGAGGAAAAACATCAAAGCAAGCATTTAAAAATCTTTAGCAAACAACAACAACAACAACAACAACAACAACTAGAGGTGATGGAAGAAGAAACAGCCAACAGGAAAAAATTCTCACTGAACAATATGATAATTGTGGGGTGACAGACGAGGATGAGGAGCAGCAGAGCGATAAATTTAGATGATCAACTCATCAACTCTTACAGTCTAAGATGAGTGTGAGTGTCGTAAGGTTAAGAAAACATTTAAGAACATAATAGTTTCAAGAATAACATCTTCTTAGAACTATTAAGAAAAAAGAAAATAAGATTATTCTTAAGTTATTTGAAGAATAAAAAAAATTCTCCTAACTTTTCTCTTAAGAATAAAGTTAAGAAAAACCACACATCTAAGAAGATTTTCCTTCTTAAGACACTTTTGTGAATCTGGTCCCTGATCTTGGAAAGTTCTCAAACACTTTGTACAGCCTTGCTGTTCTCCTGTTCCTGCTGTACCAAGTAAGCAGCACTCACTGACACTGCAGTGTCCTGAAGGGAACTCCCGTCTAGCAGGGAGAGCTCAGAGCAGAACTGCTCAAAAGGGCATGTTCACTGCAGCATCCATATCCTTCCTGCCAGAGACGTCCAGCAGAAAATCAGAAGGCCCTCCTCATGTGCCAGTTTTCATTCCCCCCAAAGATCAGTGGCACAAAAGCAGTGAAGTGCATTCAAATGGAAATGGCCGAGGTTGGGCGAGGTTGGCTTTCGCTCAGCTCTGGGATATTAAACCGTCTACAGGCAGGAAAAGTCCAAAAGAATAAAATCAGAAGAAGAAGAGTTTGGTGAGCCGAAAAGAGACGTGACATCTGTAAGAGGACCTGAGAAGGGGAAGATGAACAGAGGCGTACATGCAGAGACGGGTATTTTACTGGTTGGTTAAAGGTTTCTGAATAGTTTGAGGCCTATATGTACAGACTGAGCAGATTCCTTTAATTCAAGGGTGCTCAACTCCAGTCCTGGGTGGCTGCCGTCCAGCACAGTGTGGGGATTTACCTGCTCGAACACACCTGATTAGACTTAATTGCCAGGTTTAGTGGGCGTGTCTGAGCAGGAAAACCTTCAAACTGTGCTGGATACCATCCCTCCAGGATCAGAGTCGTGCACCCCTGATTTAACTGGTATAGATTAAACTCTCATTTACAAACAGGGTATAGATGGGGACAAATTAAAGGATAAGACAACATGAAGCATCTTAGTAAGGTGTTAAGGGGCCACCAGAACAGCTTGAATGCATCTTCATGTGGACTCTAGAAGTCTGTAGAACTGTACTGGGCGGATATAACACTGTTCTGGAGAGTGTGGTCTAACGTGTCACTCCAAAATATCCCCCAGGCATTCAACAGGGTTAAGATCGGGCGACTATGAAGGCCAAATCACATCATTTACATGATTTTCATACTCATCAACCCATTCAGGTACTGGTGGTCGTCCAGATCCCTTCGCCCTGCACAGACAGCCTTTTTTTTGTGCCGTGTCCAAATCTGCTGTCCAGTTGGTGCATTTTTATTGAATTTTCTCGAAAATGCTGCTGCACTCTTGTTTGACTGTGTTCGAGGATATTCTAACACACTAAATGCCTTTTCATTTCTAGTGAACGCCATTCTCAACCTGAAAAAAAAAAAACATTAAAAATTAAACTTGGTTAGTTTTTACACACTTTGTTAAAATTTGAGGTCATTTGAGGGAGAATTGGCTGTTATTAGACTACGAAATGATGTCAATTTTTTTGGGACACCCTGTACTTTATAAACTGCCTAAATCTACCAATTGCTACATTGATATTTTCATGTTTTTTGAGGCTTATGATATACGGGTCAATGACAAACAAGGTTTTCAAAATGACTTTTAAAAAATTTGGTCTTGGAGGTGCTGAGCGTCTCGCCAGCTGCCATGTTTGTTTTTTGTTTATGACAAGATAAAAATGGAAAACCTTCGAATAAACGATCGATCAATAGAACGACCAAGTTCTAGTTCTTTACAAACACATAAAAGTGAGTGTGTTGATGTTCCTGCTTCTATGAAGCGAGAACACCTGGGAAAAACTGATGTTCGAAATGAGTCCAGATTCATAAAAACACATCACTCGATTTACTGCAACATTAAGAGCAAATATACATTTGCTCATTCATAAAGAAGGATTACTGGCCTGTTTTGCTGTTTGCTTGATAGATCCACGCTTTCCTCTCGATTGCATGTGCCATTAATGATTCATAAACACAGCAAAAAACAACACTGGAAAAGGTCAGATGGTAAATTTGCCAATGAAAGCTGAACTGAGCTGAAATGTCTGGATCAAATGTTCTAGATCTTTTCTACAGTGTTTTCAAACATGTTTAGTCTCACATGCAAATCGATACATTATACATGTACACCCACTCTGCTGACTCAGCAATATCTCAAAAAGGACCACATTTCGATATTTTCAGGTTAAATATGATGGCCAGCATTGGATGTGCAGGTGTAGGAGTAGAAGAGGAGGAAGGTGAAGGATTTCAGTACATTTTACAATGATTTTCAATGCTAGAATAAACATACAGACACAGCTTGAGGAGAGATACAGTCATGCAGGTATTGTGAAGCGTTGGATTGAGATATGTAGAAGCTTTTTCTTTACTTTCTTTTCTTTCTGTTTCTCCACCACTTTGGCTGTGGATAGAGGTTGTTGGTGCCTTTATAGTGCATTGCAATCATGTACCATTTTTCCAAAATGTTTGCTGCAATTGTAGTAAAGGGTGAGCTATTTAACACAAACCTTTTATGGTGTTACAGAAGATCAATCAGCATGAACTTCTGGCCACATCACAACATTTCCTAGCCGTGGTCTCCCACCAAAATTCAGAGGGATTCATCAGCGTTGTAAAGAGATCTGAGCCAAAGAGTGTTTTCAGGGCATGTAAGTCATTTTTTCGGGTTACTGAGCTGTTTGTGTAAATCACAAACTGTCTTATAGATGATAATATATAATGCAGTTCGGTTGGGAAACATTAGTTTCTTGCAACATAGAATTATATTGGATTAACTCTGTTTGCACTGATTGATCAGACTTTTCTAGCAGGTGTTAAACTGACCCTCTGTCTGTTACAGTGAATCCACCCATGGGCTAAACTGGAACACAGCACCTTCCTCATTTTGGGTGGAATTGTACTGAACGGTAGGAGCGAGAAACAAAGTTCAAGTGTTGGTTTGTAGCAGAGATGTTTATGTTGCTTGCATAAAAATATAATTATTCCAACTTAAATATTTTAAAAATTATTTCATAAAAACAAAAATGTGGGCCCTACTCTCCCCTACTTCCTCTTATTTTAGAATCTGCAGCTTTTATTTTCAGTATCCTTTGATGTAGCACGTCTATTCTGGAATGCAAACAGGCCCTGAGCTTTAGTGATTAATATCATTAGCTCATTATTGATTTTGAATGCTTTTTATTAAGGAAATATGGAACAACAACTGCATATGTAACTGCATTAATTACGAGCAGGAGTAGGAGTTTATAACCATGTCACATGTTTGGGTTCTATACAGTTTTATGACTGCAAAACAGCCCCCAGCAAAAGGCTGGTGAAGTAAATATCCATCCATATTAGCCCCCTTGCTAAACGTTCTTGGTGTACACTCAACAAATTGTCTCAAAGCAGCATTTCCTGTAATTCCTTTACCTCTACCGTCTTTTTTCTGATGGTGGCTAGTCGACCAAAATGTAATGCGCCCTGGCTGGCTTCTGTCAGATGCCAACATGCTGAAAAATTAGAGAACCGTCACTCATTTTTTCCACTTCAAGTACTGGTCACGCTATCATTCCTCAGCCTGGTGGCAGAGCAGACTGAATAAAGGGATGAAAGCCGGGGAATCTGCTCCGGTTCCCTCAGCAGGGGGAGAGGAGTCAGAGCTTGCTCAGTGTTTCCAGCATCGCAGGCTTAAACTATTTAAATCCAGCACCCTCCCGAAACACTTTCATGACAAATTTATGAACATAAAAAATGTAGATGATGACATGAAAAAACATGTAACTTATATGTATAACATATACATATCATCACTGTCCAATGAAAAACATGCATCTCCATTTTTTTGCGATCTTCACTTTTCTGCATCATTTGAGTTGAGCAGCCGTCCTTTACGCTGTGTGAAGATTTCATGATGATTGGACAAAAATAAATGCTCCAAAATCGCTTAGAATAAAATCTCTTTCCATTAACTTACATTGAAAGGTGAGAGTGTTCTTGCCCTCTCCTGTAAAGTTACTGTTTTTGGAGATGCTTGTTTTTCTTTGGACAGCGATGATATATAACTTCCGATGCCACTCTGTTATATAAGCATCAGTGTCGATCAGTGTTGTATGGGTATATTATATATCTGTTGTCGGAAGAAAAACTCGTATGTCCGAAATGGTAACTTTACAGGAGAAGGAAAAAAACAAACTTTACTTCTAATGTAAGTCAATGGAACCAGAATATATATATATAGGCTTCTTTGCATCATGGAATGGTTCTTCATATTGATGGAGAATGTGCTGCATATGGTTCTATACAGCGTCCAAAAGCATTTTTCTATTGTTACAAGCTTGACATGGTAACAACAGAAGAACCCTTTTTGGTCCTATACAGAACCACTTACAGCACATTCCTAATAACCCTTTATGATGCAAAGAATCAGGCAAAGGGTTCTTTGAGTGTTCATGGTTGTATATAGAACCAGTGTCTTTACTAAAGAACCATCTTTTTTAAGAGTGTATACGTAAAATACATACATTTAATAAAAAATTACACAGAAACACTAAACATAATATCAAATCTGTCTCCTTTTTGTCAGTGAGGTTTTTCTTGATCAGCTACACATCCTTTCAGACCCACAGCGCTGAGTCGTCTTCTCACAGTGGAAGGATGGACAGAAACACCTGTGGATGTTTTCAGATCTGATCAGCTTGATTTTCTCCTCTCTCTCAGAGATGAAAGCTTTAAGTGCTGTTTATCTGATGGGGCAGTTTTGGGGTCGACCAGGTGTTCCAGGTGGTTGTTAGGAGGTCCATTTTCTCTGGAGCTCTTGATCAGTTTTTAAACTCCAGTTTTGGAAAGTCCTGCTTTTTTTACTTTAGATTTTAATCTCATCACAAATATCAAATATCTCCTGAAAAATGAAGCGTTTTTAACTGGTAAATCAATTAATGAAGAGTGTGTGTGTGTGTGTGTGTGTGTGTGTGTGTGTGTGTGTGTGTGTGTGTGTGTATATATACCCAGTGCAATAACAGAACTGAACACTGCACAATGTTGACATTGCACACTGCCATCCAGTCACCAACACACACAGGAACAGAGTGTCTACCAGCACCTCAAGGATATTAAAAGATGTTTGCATTCATCTGCACTTTATTATTATTGCAAATAATAATAAGATTCAAGAGAATTATTATGGTTGTTGTTATTGTTGTTACTGAAGTTTGATGGTCTTGACACCATATATATTCAAATACTTTGATACTAATACTGGTACATAAAATTTGACTAATTTCTTAATTTCTGAACTGTATTTTTTCTTTAAAATACAAAAATATATGAGTATAACTATAATGGTATTTGGTATTGAAAATGACAAAAAATAGTTTGATGCTCTGTTGGTAATGTTTGATGCTCAACTGGTAACCTAAAGGTGTCAAATGTATATATCACTGTTGTCAGAAGAAAACTGTGCATCTCCAAAATGGTAACTTTACAGGAGAAGGAAAAAACCTACTTTATTTTCAATGTAAGTCAATGGAACCAGATTTTTTTTCCAAGTCATTTTGGGCCGTTACTAGCTTTTCTTCCAACAGCAGCGATATATTATACATATATATGTATATATATACACACATATACACACACACACACACACACACGTTTTTTTATTTATATATGGATGTGTTTGTCTTTCCACTCTGTCAGGGATCATAAGCGATGGATTCCAATTTGCCTTGGAAGCAAAAAAAAAACACTAAAAACTGACAATTACACAACGGCTCAGCTCCAAATGTGCCTTCAGGGCAGAACAACTACTCCATAGCTTCTAAATGGAGATTTAACTGGTGCTGGACATCCATGTTTGTGTGTTTTCCCATTAAAAAACACCTGATTCAGTTCTTCAGGTAATTACAGGGTTCTTCAGCAGCTCACTAAGGAGAGACTACATTTCCGGAGAGCGCTTTTCCACACCACACTGAGCTGTGCTTAGACAGGAAAATCAGTGAGGCGGAAAGAAAAACGGATTTAATTTCAGCACTGTTAGAAGGTCTAGGTGTTAGAGCAGCTGAATGTGGACGCTAGTAAGGGTCAGTTAGTGTGGATTTATTCATGATTTCTACTACCATGATTTCATTATTAGTGATGTCAGTCTGTTGGGGTCACATGTTCCCTTTCGCTGCTGAAAGGTGCTGTTTTAATGAGTGTAATTCGAGTGAAAATGTGAGTTTGTCTCGTTCATCTTCACCTGTAGAGAAGACCACGTTCTTGGATATGAGCTTGTAGTCCACGATGGAGAACTGGGGCAGTTCTATCCTCTCCACCCCCGTCACCGCGTGGTCACCTCCGCGCCAGTAGAACTCGATATCGTCGGTCGTGTAGCCGTCTGCGATGGAAAGAGACAAAGAATGAGACCACTTAGTGAATAAACGTGTGAATCAAAACTCAATTCCTCCTGCGGTCATACAGACGTGTGCAAAAGTTTGGGCACCCCTGGTCAACTTCCTCTACAGGGAACAAACTTAAAAATGGCATTTTCTAATTGTACATTCTTGAAAAAAGATGGTTATGAAAGGGTTCTTCAGATTTAGGAAGATTTATGAAGAATGTGCTGTAGATGGTTCTATATAGCACCCAAAAGGGTTCTTCTATAGTAACATCCTTGACATCGTTACACTAGAAGAATCCATTTGGGTGCTACATATATCTATGTAGAACCATCTATAGCACATTCATGCATATTTTCCTTCAATCTGAAGAACCCTTTCATGATGCAAAGAACCCTTTAATCATGCAGAAGGTTCTTTGAGTGTTTGCTTCTATACAGAACCATTTTCTTTACTAAAGAACCCTTGAATAACCATCATTTTTAAAAGTGAAGCTCGACACTAACAATAGAAGAACGCTTTTAGTTTTCAAAAAGGTTCTATATAGAACCATCTACTGCACATTCTCCATCAGTCTGCAGAACCCATTCATGATGCAAAAAAACCCTTTAGGGTTCTTTGAGAATTCATGGTTCTGTATAGAACCAAAGAACTCTTGAAGAACGAATAAGAGCGTAATGTACAATTTGATATTTATAAAACTTATACAACTTTTGAACAGACCACATTTTATATTTCATTTTTCCCCCCAGTGTGTTAAATTCAGCAAATAAACAGTAATCGTGTGTTAATGTGCAGAAGACGAAGAGCTCACTTATTTACACTTGATAGAATTTGATCAGGGGCGCTCAAACTTTTCACTCAATAAGTACTTTGAAACAAATCAAAGCAAAATTTTGGTTTAGATGAACAGAATCAATATTATTTTACATCAATTCAAACCTCAAAAACATTTCAAATCAATTTCTGCACTTTTCCACATCTACTTTTAAACAGTAGACGCTGTAAGTAATTATAAGCTGATGCGCTGAAACTGAGGGCGTCTTTGAATCAAACACATTTACTTAATTAGAGGTAAACACTGCAGACGAGCCATCATCGAAGAAATGAAGAGACAGTCTCAACTCAGTCTGGTTTTAATTAATCTACAGCAAACAAAAACAAAACACATTACAGACTGAGAGTTTTCCATATTCTAGATGTTCCAGTGGGACAAACGGGTGAAACTCTCTACAAACCTCTCTGTATATTTGGTAGCAGGTCCTGAAATTGATCTGAGGGGTCGGGAATCTGGGTTTAACTTCTTCACAGTCTTTCCAGGTAACAACACCAACAACAAACAAGCCGCTCTACAGTTCTACGTAAAGTACACCACGTTCCACCAGGCTGTGAATATTTCACATAGCCTGAAGTCGTACGACTGTAGTCGTGTTTTGTTATATATTGCCAGTCGGGAGTGAAAAGCCAGGCCTTGGGTTAAACTCTGATAAGTGAAATCATAAACATTTCCATTATTCACCTCAACTGAGGGGGTAAAACAAGCTGGCATGAATATTCGACTAAAACAAGAGATATTTAGTCCGTCAGGCCATCCTGTGTGCTGGAACTGACAGGAACATGAAGAGCAAGATCATAAATGATTTAGAACACTATGGAGCTCTTATATAATCCACTCTCCCACCATAAGGTCCCGTCATAAATAGTCCCCAAAGAGAACGTTTTTACCATCAACATCACATAAAACTCAACTTGTATGTGTTCCTCTGTGTTTTGTCTACCATCCTGTGTGTTCCACCATGTTCTGTATCTACTATCCTGTATGTGTTCCACCATGTTCTATATCTACCATCCTGTGTGTTCCTCCATGTTCTGTATCCACCATCCTGTGTGTTCCACCATGTTCTATATCTACCATCCTGTGTGTTCCACCATGTTCTATATCTACCATCCTGTATGTGTTCCACCATGTTCTATATCTACCATCCTGTGTGTTCCTCCATGTTCTATATCTACCATCCTGTGTGTTCCACCATGTTCTATATCTACCATCCTGTGTGTTCCACCATGTTCTATATCTACCATCCTGTGTGTTCCACCATGTTCTATATCTACCATCCTGTGTGTTCCACCATGTTCTATATTTACTATGTTGTATGTTTTACACCATGTATTGTTTACCATCCTGCAGTGTTCCATTATGTTCTATATCAACCATCCTGTATGTGTTCCTCCATGTTCCGTATCTACTATCCTGTATGTGTTCCACCATGTTCTGTATCTACCATCTTGTACTTGTTCCACCATGTTCTATATCTACCATCTTGTACTTGTTCCACCATGTTCTGTATCTACCATCTTGTATGTGTTCCTCTGTGTTTTGTCTACCATTCTCAATGTGTTCCACCATGTTCTGTATCTACCATCTGGTACTTGTTCCACCATGTTCTATATCGACCATCCTGTACGTGTTCCACCATGTTCTATATCGACCATCTTGTATGTGTTCCTCCATGTTTTGTCTACCATTCTCAATGTGTTCCACCATGTTCTATATCTGCCATTCAACACAATCAGTTTTGCCTCTAGATCTTCAGAGAGAGATCTTTACCTTCAGTCACTGGTGTATGTTCTAGATCTTTCCTCAATATAATCCCAGAATCTCTGTTTAATCTTTACTTAAACTTGTCCTAAACTAAACTACCCAGTGCACCACAGAGGAGGACGGGCTCCTCTTTTGGGTCGTCGGTCCTCTCAGTGCTTCTTCCTCGTGGTCTTAGGGGGTTTTTCTCATGGAGTCTCATGGAGTTTCTTAACTTTATAATCCTTTTCCAGACACTCGTTACATCTGAGAAGACTTATTATTTCAGATTGTCCACTATTTTCCATCAACATTCCATATAAACTCAGAAGACTCGTGTAGGTTCACTGGTGGTTCTGGATAGTAAATAAAATGTCTATATTTGTGTTGTAGTCATGGCGACCCCTGGTCAAAAGGGTCCTTCTATTGTTATGGTGTCAAACTTGTAACAACAGAAGGGCCCTTTTGGGTGCTGTATAGATCCATTTTCATAAAGGTTCTATCTAGAACCATCTATAACACATTCATGCACATTTTCCATCAATCCGAAGAACGCTTTCATGATGCAAAGAAACTCTTTAATCATGCAAAGGGTTCTTTGAGTGTTCATGGTTCTAAATAGAGCCATTTGCTTTACTAGAGAACCCTTGAAGAAATATCTTTAAGAGTGTAGTGCACAATTTAATATTTATAAAACTGAGTGCTCATGGTTCTATATAGAACTATTTCCTTTACTAGAACTACAACCATTACTAGAACCATTTTCTTTACTAAAGAACCCTTGAAGAAATATCTTTAAGAGTAGTGCACAATTTAATATTTATAAACCTATTGATAAAAATAAACATTTATAAACATATCAAATGTAAACAGAACCATTTTTAAGAGTGTACTTAAGCCTCGTAGGCAAACTTCAGACATCAAACACGTCTCTGCTATTTGACTACATTTGGGGTCCGTTCAACGTACGATGGTTTCGTAGATGCCACTCTAGAGGACGCTGCAAGAAAACCCACCACCGAGAGGTCAAACGGTGACAGTCGCCCATTCCTTCTTATGCAAAGAAGAGACTTTGGCCTCTGTGTGGTCGGCTGGACTTCGGCGAGCCACTTAACTCCATTGTTTCTGTGTCATTGAGTCTGACTTTGCAAATTAGCTCTCTTGCCTGCATCCCTGTCACCCCTGTTACATCAGTGCATTAGGGCTCGCTCGGCTTGCCGTCACCCCGTGTGCACAGGGGGACTCTATTGTTGGAGAAAAAGAACTAAAGGAGAGACTGGAGGATTTGCTTCTTGAGTGATAGGGCAGCCAGAGGTCGTGAGACTGAGCCTGAGGTTAAACGATGTCCCTGACTGACTCACACTTGAACTTGTGTAAGAGATAAATAAGCCAAGAGAGCTCAAATAATCCGCTCGCAAGAAATCTCGATGTCGGTGAGCTGTAGAGCCACACAGTCGCAGACAGGTCCATGTAAAGGCGTCATTTAGAATGTCTCAAAATCATCAAAATGGATCACTTTTGTTTAGCATCTGAAGTTTCAGCACTAGGCTGATTATCGCTGACGTACATCAGTTAGTAGGGATGTCCAGAGCTGATACAGAGGATCACAGCCGATACTGGATTGGGTATCAGTTAAATTGAGCCCAATCTAGTTCAGATTTTTTGCGGTGTCTTAATGCCAGAGCTGTAGAGGTTACATAAATAGAAAGCATCCAGTCTGCAGTAGTAGCACATTTTCAGAGGTTGGCTGGTTTGAAGACTTCACAGCATAAGTCTCTTTGAGCGCTTCCACATTCTGTTGAAAGTGCTGGCTTGAAACGCTATGCTAGTTCTTGTTTGATGGTGACAGACCAAGTAAACATGGAGATTAACCTTAATATTTCCATCATTTTGTTTTGTCTTCTAAAAGTGTGAATCTGCTGATCAGGGGTCAGCAACATGCGGCTCTTTTACTGCCCTGTTGTGGCTCCACAGCTGAATCAGATTAGTAGGTAAAAATAAAATAATCCTCCTTTACAGTAAAATAAAGCTCTGCTGATCGTTCAACACAGTTTATCAATAAATGGTCTTAAACTCTGGAGTTAATGTAGAACTGCTGATTCACCCTTTAACCCTGAAGACCAGCACAGACTGCTGGTCACCATAGCAACACAGACAACAGTCTTGCCTAGCTAGTAACTAACGAAACAGCAAAAGAGAGAGATTTAAGACGAAGGTCGATAATTTGGAGACGAATGGACTGATTTGCGTTTATAATCACTCCAGCTGGTTTCCTGATACGTTTAATCTGCAGTGAGAAACTGACAAACACTAAAAAGTCGCAAAGCTGAAGTCAGTTTCTCATTCGCCAGCTTCTTGTTCAAATTTTCCCGTTCCACCTTAAATGGTGCAGCAGTTACATTCTGGCACCTCAGGCACCAT